GGGGTTTTCATCACCAAACATATTTAACAATCGAAATACACTGGGCAGTGTACAAAATCTCAATGTTTGCGTGTTACACTGCCTTAGCACTACTATGAAAATAGTCTGTGTGCTGCAGGGAAACTAGCTCTACTACTCTAGCCAGGTAGACCGTACAATTAATGTCTGAAACAGGGATAAAGATGGTCTGCATTATATGATTAATTTTTCAGCCCAAATGAATGCTCTCCAAAGATCAGAGATGGAGACACGATATGAAGGAGATCATATAAGCCAGAAGAGACAGTGGGAGCTTAGAGCTGACTTTGTTCTTAAAGAGCTTTCCAGTTTAGTCCATATGATTCCCCTCCCCCAATTCTTTTCCCCTTATCTAATCTTGCACAATTAAAACTGTCAAATATATTTCTTATCTTAAAATTTCACTTTACATTCTACAGTTTCAGCTTTGCAGTCCTGTTTAACTGTTGGGGCATCTGTGAGGACTTGTTTTAATACTCTCAGCATAATTAAGAAATAAGCAGATATTCTGAATGCTGTCTGGTCTGCAGTTACTCTTTTTAAAATTATTTTTCTACTAGCCACGCATTGTAGTGAGAAGGGGAGAAAGAGTAGAACAAAAAGTTTCAGATCAAACTTCTGACTGTGAACAATCAGTTGAGATAAGTCACTACCTTCAGGCCAGCTATGCAATTATTCTTAATACAATCGTGCCACAGATGTATTGCTAAGAACAAAGACCCTGGCTCTGCTCCTATATTTAAGGTAAGGGAGCCTCTATTAAAATGGTCCCCAGTATAGCATACTTGGTAAAGCTGGTAATATTGGTTAAATGTGATGTAACTCTTTCCAGGATGTCTTGATCCCTGCAGATTCTCTAGAAATAAATCCCCTAAAGCAGCGGCCTTTAACTAGGGGTGGGCAACAAAATCACTCTGGAGATTTTGCGTAGTCAGTTGGTGATGGACATGTGCATTTACCCCTAACTGTCTTGGTGATTCTCCCGTGTACCCTGGCTCTTAAGCCATCTGCTTTTATTTCTTTTTATTTCTTTTCTTTTCTCTTTTTTTTTTTATAAGGTGAAATTTTGTTCTGCTGCCCAGGCTGGAGGGCAATGAGGTGATCCCAACTCATTGCAACCTCCGCCTCATTGATTCAAGTGATTCTCCTGCCTCAGCCTCCCAAGCAGCTGGGATTAGAGGCATGCACCACCATGCCTGCTAATTTTTGTATTTTTAGTAGAGATGGGGTTTCACCATGCTGGCCCAGCTGGTCTCAAACTCCTGACCTCAAGTGAGCTGCCCATGTCAGCCTCCCAGAATGCTGGGATTACAGGCATGAGCCACCACGCCTGGACTGTTTTTATTTCTTCACTTGCTAAAACTCAACAATGCTTAAAATGAAATAACAATAGTCTTTCTCTGGACTGTAATTACAGAAATTTTGTCTCCTGGTGCTTCTAGACACATGGCCATAATTCAGTCTGCTTTTCATGGTGATTATGTTTGTTAAGAGAGATTGGGTATTCAGTGTATTAGGGAGAGCTATAGTTCTGAGTTTGTGGCATAAGTATTCCGATCCCTTTGAGCCTTTAGTCCAACAAGGCAGTCATTTTTGAGCTCATCCAATTTTGTAGAAATAAATGCTTGTTTTGTTGATTATCTGCTAGCTCCTTACCTGTTTATTTAACTGCCACTCCATGTCAATCTACAGAGCTACTCATATGCTTAAGATTTCTATCCTGCTATTATGAAATCAAAAGTCTACATGTATTTATCTGGTCTTTGTGTTCTTCCCAAGAACGTGGCAGGAACATTTTTGTGGGTTTCAAATTATAAGCTAGTTCAGTGTTTTCAGATTCAGCCATATATACTCTTGGGGGAGCATAAGACATTCCAAGAAGTTTCTGATGGTATTCTGGACAAAACGGTTTTAAAAGAATGAACTGTCAGCTAGTCAACATACAAATGTACTTTTTACTGAAACTGATCTGCCTATATTCCGGCCCTTCTTCCTACCTCCCCTATTGCTATTGCCCTTTTACAAAAATAGGCATACTTAACTATCCAAAACCTGACTGGCAGTCTGTCCTATGGTATAAAAACCTCTGGGCTTGAAATAAAGGAGCACTTCTAAATTTTGGTGCCAGAACCCAAAGTATGGCTTCTATCTTTTTTGGCTTATATATATTTCTATTAAGGGTGAACTGTGGCATGATAAATGAATATTTTGGCCCATGATGGAATGTTCTAAATTGAAATATAGAATCCTGCAGTTTTAGGGGATAATTTTCCATTAATTTTTTCAATTCTTCCATTCATGAATGATTGTCAAAGAACATATTCCCCCGAGGAAGATTTTGAGAGTTTTGTTCAAACTCACAAAAAACTAAGACAGTTCATCTGTCTACTGGAGAGCCTCTCCATGGGAGGTTTAAGTAGAAGGACAGTGATCCAGATGGAAGTCTGAGATGAGAAAGAGGAGAAAATAATAAAAATGTGGGTAAACATTTTCATAATATGAAAATGTTATGAAATTTTCATATTATGGGATAATTATGAATTATCATAGGATATTTCATATCCTGGAATAATTATCATATAATTATCCTATGATAATTTCATATCATAGGATAATTATGAAAAGCAGTAAAATAATGATGCTTATTGAGATTAAAACATGCATTTAATATGCTAGACAGTAATAGCATATTTGTCCAAAGAAGGGTTAATGTTGTTAAAGCATTCTAAGGTCCTCGCATGATCCAGAAGAAAGACAATCATTATGATTAATTTTATATTTTTGACACTGATAAGCATGCATGTTTTAATTTATTTAAAATAATAAAACTAAAGAGTAAAACATTTAAATTAGAGGGGAAAAGTGAAATAAAAAGTATTTAGTAAGTTTCACAGAAAGCAGGAAAAGGTTTTAAAAAGGAACATCTGAAACCAAAATTAAGATAGATTTAAATCCATCATGAAGTTTACATGATAGTGGAGAGTTAACAAGTCAAATGAATACATGTAATTTTATATAGCAATATATACTATGCAGAAAAACCAAACGGGATAAAGCATTAGCTGGTGCCTAGGAAGAGACTATTTTTAGGTAAGGGAATACATAAGATACGAAGAGGAGGTAAATAAGACTCCAAGGGTTTTTTGTTTGTTTTTTAGTAGAGACAGTTTCACCATGTTGGTCAGGCTAGTCTCAAACTCCTGACCTCAGTTGATCCAGCCACCTCAGCCTCCCAAAGTGCTGGGATTACAGGCGTGAGCCACCATGCCCAGCTACACCAAAGGTTTTTATCTTGAGCAATAACAGGCTGAGAAGGGAAGAGGGGCCAAGAAGGAGACTGAGGAGAAGAGACAGCCAGTGAAATGGGAGGAAGTGTTTCAAGAAGGTTGGTATTATCAACTGTGCAATTAAGAATGTCTGGCTTATTTACTACAAACATCTCTCCCAGACCTGGAAACACAGCCAGTAGCAGAGTCATTGTTAAGTTACCATAGGGCCAGGCACAGTGGCTGCTGCCTATAATCCTAGCACTTGGAGAGGCCAAGGCAGGCAGATTGCATGAGCCCAGGAGTTCAAGAGCCCAGCCATGGGCAACATGGTGAAATGCATCTCTATAAAACATACAAAAAATTAGCCAGGTGTGGTTGCACCTGCCTGTAGTCCCAGCTATCTGGAAGGCTGGATCAACCGTACTTCAGCCTGGGTAACAGAGTAAGACCTTGTCTCAATATCAACAACAAGAGTTACCATAGACTCAGCAGGGCACATATACAGAGCACAGTGACTAAATCCAAGGGTCCAGAAGCCAGACTATCTGAATTGTGGCTTAACCTCTTCCTAGTTGTGATCTGAGTGATCTTGGGCAAGTTATTTAACCACTCTGTGCTTTGTTATCCTTATCTGTAAAATGGGGATAATAGAATTTGTTTCCTCTAGTAGTCATGACTAATCGAGTTTTTTGGGGGGGTGGTTTGAGACAGGGTCTCACTCCGTTGCTGACTGGAGTGCAGTGGCATGATCATAACTGACTTCAGCCTCTGAAGTCCTGTGCTCAAGTGATCCACCTCTGCCTCCTCAGTAGCTAGGGCTACATGTGCCTGCCGCCACACGTTGCTGATTTTATATACATTTTGTAGAGATGGGGTCTGCCTACATTGCCCAGGCTGGTCTCGGACTCCTGAGCTGAAGCAATCCTCTCACCTTGACCTCCCAAAGTGCTGGGAGAGTTTTGCTCTTGTTCCCAGGCTGGAGTGCAATGGCATGATCTCAGCTGACAACAACCTCCCCCTCCCAGGTTCAAGCGATTCTCCTGCCTCAGCCTCCTTAGTAGCTAGGATTACAGGCGTGCCCCACCACATCCGGATAATTTTGTATTTTTAGAAGAGATGGGGTTTCTCCATGTTGGTCAGGCTGATCTTGAACTCCCGACCTCAGGTGGTCCGCCCACCTCAACCTCTCAAAATGCTGGGATTACAGGTGTGAGCCACCGTGACTGGCCTCCAGTTAATATTTTTAAAGCACTTAGAATACACCCGACATAAAGTAGTAACTACGTATAAAAGGAGAGGGAAATCCCTACAATGGCGAAGATGGGAAAAACAACTTTGCTTTTCAAGTACTGACTTGCATTGTCAGAAGGTTCAAATTGGCACTAGACTTAGGTAATTGAATCAATCAGCATGTCTGATTGGACTAACTATATTCTCATAAAGACAACACCATGAAGTAAGCCATGGTTGAAACGTGTTTAGTTCCTCTTAACTGAAGTATTTTGCATTTAAGGTGTATGTTCATGTATGTTTATAACAAGTTATATTTTTATTGTCATAAAGAATCTTCTATTAAGTGCTTACTGGCACAGAATCCTATTACTTTTTGACAGAGTGTGGCCTTTTTTCTTTTAGTCTAAAATAACTGCAGCTGAAAAGTAACAATAATAAACACTTTCTGTATACAGATTAACAACAAAAAATAGCAGGTAATCTGCTTGGTGTTAGATATTGTAACGAGACAGATAATTTTTGTGTCATACACTGAAGCAGGCACTTTGAAGAATTCATAAAAGTTTATGACTAATTCGTTTGAAAGATAAAATGCATATGCAACATTAGATTACACAATTAGAGTATATGGCTAATGACTACTGAATGATATAGTAAGTGTTAAAACGTAAGATGGGGCAGAGGTCACTGCTGATTGTAAGGAAGTTTCATGAATGAAGTGAGACTTTTATCTGAGTCTAGGAAAATAAAGTCATTACAATCACTACATTTTAGTAAAAGCAAGGACTCAACGTATCTCTCATGTGAACATTTTCAGTAAATAACTGGAGAAAGTAGTTATTTAAGGAAGCAAAATAACGTTGGCTCAAATCCAGGTCGAAAAGTTGCAAGACTGGTCCAGAGAAGGCAGTGTATACTCCATAGCCTCATTCAAAGGAATCCCAACAACGGAAGAGGAACCAGTTAAGGAGACTGAAAAGGCGGGGCCTGTAAGGAAAGGCACAGCAACAAATGTAAAACTTCCCCAATAATTCTTTAATAACACTTCTACTTTTAATTTATCTAAAACTGTCCCCACAGCTTTTTTGATGTTGAAAATTCAAACGCATTCAATTCTCAGATTTTTTTGAGAAATATCAAGATACTTGCATTATTATTATTATTATTATTTTTTGAGAGGGAGTTTCGCTCTTGTTACCCAGGCTGGAGTGCAATGGCGCGATCTCGGCTCACCGCAACCTCCGCCTCCTGGGTTCAGGCAATTCTCCTGCCTCAGCCTCCTGAGTAGCTGGGATTACAGGCACGCGCCACCATGCCCAGCTAATTTTTTGTATTTTTAGTAGAGACGGGGTTTCACCATGTTGACCAGGATGGTCTCGATCTCTTGACCTTGGGATCCACCCGCCTCGGCCTCCCAAAGTGCTGGGATTACAGGCGTGAGCCACCGCGCCGGGCCCCGATACTTGCATTATTAACAACTATCTAGAAAGCTATTGCTTTATGTCCCACTGTAAACTCTACCATCGCAGCCTGGGATCCTAGTTCTACTCCTAGCCACCGGGTTCCCGTGGCGTTTCCGTTGGGTTATCCCAAATCTGTGCTATGATACTAGCGCCCTCCCCGCTTCCAGTGGAATAAACACTACGTCTGGCCCTCAGTGCTGGAAGGAAATCGGCTTCTTGCCCACAGCCTGGGAAGTGGCCCCGGGCGCAGTAAATGTCAACCGCTCCGAGTTGCGGTTCCGGCGCTTTGGGCGCCCCTGGGCTCAGAGTCCGGGAGTCATGGCCGCCGGCAGTGCCGCCCCAGGTAAGTTAGCCAGGAACAGGGCCTGGGCCTGGAGGACACTCTCGGAAAATGAAGACCAGCGCAAACAAGAACGAGGGCAAGAGGCGGGGGCAGCAGGAGGCGGCAGCAAGACTCAGGACGCCGAGTTCCTGGAGACCCAGGGACTGCGCAGCCCTGCGCGCCGCCTCTCCACGCCCACGGCGGCGACTGCTTCCGAGGTCACGTGCCCGGGACGCGCGCGTCTTCAGGGTGGAAGCCGGGCGCACATCCGGAGGTGCCGAGGAGCCAACCAGCCCAAACTTTGGGGGAAATGACTCCCCTCTGCCCTCGCCCCGCGCTCTGCTACCGTTTCCTTCCATCTCTGCTTGGCTCAGCGATGCAAAACGCGCGAGGCGCACGGCAGAGGGCCGAGGTCGCGGGCCCCTCCGAGCCGGGCCCCTCCGAGCCGGGCCCGCCCCTCGGCCGCGCCGCGCAGCACGGGACGCCCCGGCCGCTGTCCAGCGCTGGCCGCCTGAGCCGAGGCTGCCGCCGAGCCAGTACAGTCGGGGGCGCGGGAAGGGCGAGCTTTCTAAGGCTCGGGGATGCCTGGCGCCCTAGCAGGGGAGGAGAGAGGCGTGCGAGGGGCCCCGGCAGTCCGGAAGGAAATCCTTCCGCTAGAGACAGTAGGGGAAGTAGGGCGGTGAGCGGCCTCTTGGTGCGCAGGGGGAGTCCATTCGGGTCCCCTGGCGGAGGGGGCTCCTTTCTAGTGTGAGGGTGATGCCCCAGGAGCTGTCCCCAACGTCGGCCTCGCGCGCTGAATGTGGAACGTTGACTGGGACCTAGTAGTTTCCGATCCCAAACTTGCTTTCTGAGAAGGGCTTCTAGCCCAAAATGTGAATCCCGCCTCCCCTCTCAGCCAGAACTGTGGACTCGTCCCGGAGGCGGCGGTGGGTGGGGAGGAGCTGGCGGGAAATTTTGGTTTGGGCGAGTTCCCTGCGACGCTGCTTGTCTTAACGTTCTCTTGTTCCCAGGGCGCTCTCCTCGTTCGCCTTCTGGCTGTGCCATGCCCTGCTCTGAAGAGACACCCGCCGGTTCACCCAGCAAGCGGGCCCGGCCCGCAGAGGAGGGTGGCGTGCAGCTCCGCTTTGCCAGGCTCTCCGAGCACGCCACGGCCCCCACGCGGGGCTCCGCGCGGGCCGCGGGCTACGACCTATACAGGTGAGCGGGGCGTTCCGGGCGAGGAGGCTGCGAAGGGCCGGCCATCCGCTGCCGCAGCTAGAAGCAGTCACCGAAGAGATTACAGGAACACGCTAGCTGTAAAAAGGATTTCTGCCTTTTTCCATGTCGAAAATTTTAGCTTCCATCTTTGGCATAGCGATTTCGGCAGAGTGCAGAATAAGTGAAATAGCTATACAGTGTCTACCAAGACGTTACTTTGCAACGTGTCTTGTATCCTTCCTAAATGGAAGGTAGAGATTGGGAAGGCACGTGGTGGCTTCTGAGCGGCCTGAGGGTGATGCTGTGCTTAATAGAAAAGCCGAGGTGAGAGCCTGGGTGTGAGCGTGAAAATACCTAAGAATAGAATTAAGCATGCATCTGCCTTAAAGAGTTATTTTCTATGCATTCATCTGGCCCCAGGGCGGAATTTCAAAAGGTATCCGAATAGGAAAGGCAGAGCTGCCTGTAATACTACGACACTTGCATCTCTCCAGCAGGTTTTTCCTGTACCGTAAACTTTACCGTTTGCTATTTAGTCCTCACAACAATCCTTAAGTAGATTAGTGTTACGTTTTACACAGCTGGGAGTTTGTGAAGAGCTGAATTGATCTGCCCAGAGGCTTGAAGATAATAGAATTCTTTCAGCCTGAATTTTGGGCTTTTTTCATTTGACCACCGTACCCAGTTCTTAGAACCATTAAGGTAGGTGAAAAGTAATGCTGAAAGAGGAGGAGGGTTTGTTATATAACTAAATCCCCAGCACTGGGATTTATTTTAAATTATCTCAAGTAATTTGAACATGAGAGCTATTGGCCTAAACACAGGAGGAGAGAAAGGAGTGCATGATGATAGCAACAGAAAAGAATGGAGAAGGAAATTAGGGATGGACAATTGTAGCTGGAAAAACTGTACAGTCTCTTAATGAATAAAAGTAGTGTGATGTAGTTTGACTAGATCTTTCCAAAGTATATATTGGAGCACTTTTGTGAGTCCTAGGGGAGTCCTTGATTTAAGATACTTGTTTCCTGATAAACACAGGTGACTTTCTGTGTACTGAAATTGACATGGAAATAATGTATCTCTGTAATAAATTAGGGCTTACCTATTTAAAGAGGGATTTCAGTGAAAGAAAGGCAAGTGTAGTACTGCTTTACCAGACTTAATTAAGGTCTCCAAAGTAAACTTCCGGTCTGCTCATTGTAAAATCTCTTAATTTTCTACCCCGGAGAGGGCCACAGTAATAGCAAGAATGGCAGCATTTACTGTGTGGACCTTCGAAGAATTCCGCTCCTTGGCAAGATTTACTTCCACGGGCTGTTCACAGAGATAAGCTCTCTCCTTCAGCCAGGGAGTTCATGACCTAAGCCTGGTAAACTACCAAGCCCAGCCTGACAGATACAACACAGTTCTTTATCGCTCTTATTTTGTCCACCCTTTTTCTCCTTTCCTTCTGCAGATTTTCCCTAATCATGTAGATGATTGTGAGAATAAAATGAGTTATATATATAAACCAATTAGAACTGTGCCTGGCACAGTAGAGGCTTAATGATAGCTATTGTTGGCCAGTACTTGACCTTTTTTCTTGGTTCTTTCTTCATTTTTTTTCTTTTCAAACTGTGGTAGTAAAGCATCCACCTTTTGAAAGCTTACCTTTGTGCCCTTCATGCTAATAAGTACCTTAAAAGTTTCCCAAAAAACTTCTGTTCAGGGACAAACATTTACAATGTTGGCATCTCTTCACACCATCAAAATTACAGAGAATTATTTTCTCTAAAGCTGTCATTTTAATAAAAGAAAATAGCTACCTCTACCTTCATAAACTTTTAAGATGAGTTGGGAATTCATAGCAAGGTTGATTTTAGAAACTAAAGTTGCATTAATTCATTAAATATATTGAAAGCAATTTTATATGCTTGGTCACAAACAAAATATAAAACTAATTTTATAAGTAGATTTGCATTTACTTTCTTTCAATATTTTCTTAGCGCCTATGATTACACAATATCACCTATGGAGAAAGCTCTTGTGAAAACAGACATACAGATAGCGCTTCCTTCTGGATGTTACGGAAGAGTAGGTAAGTCATTTAAGAAACGGGTACTATTTGTCAAGCTCTCCTTTGTGATACATTCTTCATGTTTCATTTGGGGTAATAAGCAGGTAATACTGCTTGGGCTGTGTCCCCATTTGTGATAGCAAATGCACTGTTTGAAAGGCTTCATTTACATCTCTGCTTTGCCTCTTTTTGACCCTTTTATTTTTCTCCTCCTCCACTGGAGCTTTTATGTTCACATTGGGCTAGGGGGTTCTCAGAACAAGACATGTTATATTATGAGACTAAAACTTCGAACCTTGTTGGTCCTAGAGTGTGTAAGCCTATTTAACCTTTTCGTGTTTGGCCATGGGGTTAGGGTAAAGAATACTCTTCAGTGTTCTAGAAGGACTGGGAGGAGCCAGGACAAAATGGAGTACAGGTCAACAGGTTTGATTTTTCTGGAGTGGATCAGTTGTTACCAGAGTTCTTTGCAAGAGCGTAAGTTCTTTTTGACTAACTTCAGAGTAAACATAAAGGAGCCAATGGAACTGTGACACCCTCCTCTGGGAAACGGAGCTAGGCTGGCACTATCTTATTAGCCATGAGTGGGGAAACTGCCAGTACTTCAGCCCTTAAAAGATAACAAGATGGGCTCTCATCTCATCTCTTGGGCATCATTAACTGCATTTTTAAGACTTTTTTCAGGGGAAGGGGCGGAGATGGAGTGAAATAAAGGTCATTACAGAAAGAGGCAGCATTACTGACAAAGTGCCTGATTTAAATTATTCTAAAATAAAATACTACAATTTAGGATAATTAATTATAGGTGTGATGCTTGGGTCAGCAAGTATAAGGTATAAACTTAGCTCTTTTTTTCATTTTTTTGTATTTTTAGTAGAGACAGGGTTTCACCATGTGGACCAGGATGGTCTCGATCTCTTGACCTCGTGATTCACCCGCCTCGGCCTCCCAAAGTGCTGGAATTACAGGCTTGAGCCACCGCGCCCGGCCTTTTTTTCATTTTTTAGGATTAAAAAGTGTACTAACATTGAACCATTGAGACTTGGTTTTTGGTATTTTACTTAACTGATATTAGCCCATTTATCTTACTCTGGTTCATATGTTTCCTACACGCATGTCTTTTGGCATCTGAATCATGAATAGTGGGGTCTCCAGTTCTAGAAGGTGCTCTGCTGTTTCGTTAGATTTGTTCCCTTCTCCCTTCTTCCTCTCCCTTCCTATCTACATTGTATATGTTGTGGTATCCCATCTGAAAACCAAAGTCCTCTTCCTCGGTACTGTGTTCCTGCCAGCCACACTCCTCTTTGTTCCCCTTTGAGGCTAAACTTCGGGGTTTTTTTGTTTTTTTTTTTGAGACAGAGTGTTGCTCTTGTTACCCAGGCTGGAGTGCAATGGCGCGATCTCGGCTCACCGCAGCCTCCGCCTCCTGGGTTCAGGCAATTCTCCTGCCTCAGCCTCCTGAGTAGCTGGGATTACAGGCACACGCCACCATGCCCAGCTGATTTTTTGTATTTTTAGTAGAGACGGGGTTTCACCATGTTGACCAGGATGGTCTCAATCTCTTGACCTCGTGATCCACCCGCCTCGGCCTCCCACAGTGCTGGGATTACAGGCGTGAGCCACCGCGCCCGCCCTGAGGCTAAACTTCTTGAAAGAGCAGGCTTCAGTTGTTCGGCTTCCTCATCTTTCAGCTTATTCTAGTAGTTGTTCTCCCATGTCTACACCACCAGAAATTCTCCATTGAAGTCACATGGGAGTAGTTTAAGTTAGTTTTGAATTAAAACCTTGTAGAATTTTTCTAAATATTATTTCCAACTTTGGTAATCCAGTATGATGAATATATTCTTTAATTCAAAACGATGTGCTAAAGTTAAGATGATGATATTGAATGATAGGTGAAGAGAATGACATGCTTCAATTGCGTCAGCTGTATCTAGCTTAGCCTTTCCCCCTTAAAATAACCAGCGTCTCCTTGTTTTTTAGCTCCACGGTCTGGTTTGGCTGCAAAACACTTTATTGATGTAGGAGGTAATATATTTCTTTTTTTATTTTGTAAATGTTTGCGAGTATTTCCTTTGTCTTTGTTTGAAAGGTAGTATTCAAATGACAGATTTTATTTTTAAGAAAATGATTTTTTGTTGTGACTTGCCTCTTTAGAAATTTCCATATATGAAGTAAGACAATTATGATAAAATTTCAAATACTATTTCATGTCTAATTTTTAAGTTACATTATGTAAAATGCATGTTGTTTTACTAGTAGGCTGACTAGGCACTATCTGACAAATGGGTTTTTTGGCTTGGTTTAGTGATAATCTGCATTTTGTCAAAAATGTCTATTCTTAGAGGGAAGCTTGTTATTACAAGAGAAGGAAAAGTTTGCAATTATTTTAAGCAATTATATTTTTAACTACCAACTTAATTTAAAAAATAATTATTACCTAATTAATAATGACTTAAATTTAATGATGTAATGATTTTTGAGTATTTAAGCAACAGAATTGTAGAAAATGCAAGTCTATCTTGTAACAGTTTTCTTACCTTAATAGGAAAGCTATCTGTGTATAGCAAAATACAAAAATATCTTTCCCTGAAGTCAGGAGAGAAAACAGTTTTCTCTAAATTTGTCAGGAGAGTCCTTTGTGGTACCTGTTTCCCTTATAATAAAGTCTTTCTCATATCTCTCAAAGTTAACACTACCTCATGTGGTACCTTTCATGAAGAACCCTCAGTATCTTTTTTTTCTTTTTTTTTTTTTTTTTTTTAATTATACTTTTAAGTTCTGGGATACATGTGCAGAACGTGCCGGTTTGTTATATAGGTGTACACATACCGTGGTGGTTTGCTGCATCCCCTCCCCTTGCCTCCGTCATCTACATTAGGTATTTCTCCTAATGTTAGCTCTCCCCAGTACCCCCACTCCCTGCTATCCCTTCCCTAGCCCTCCTACCCCTGACAGGCCCCAGTGTGTGATGTTCCCCTCCCTGTGTCCATGTGTTCTCATTGTTCAACACCCACTATGAGTTAGAACATGCTGTGTTTGGTTTTCTGTTCTTGTGTTAGTTTGCTGAGAATGATGGTTTCCAGTTTCATCTATGTCCCTTCAAAGGACATGAACTGATACTTTTTTATGGCTGCATAGTATTCCATGGTGTATATGTGCCACATTTTCTTTATCCAGTCTATCATTGATGGGCATTTGGGTTGGCTCCAAGTCTTTGCTATTGTAAACAGTTTCACAATGCATGTGTCTTTATAGTTGAATGTTTTATAATCTTTTGGATATATACCTGGTAATGTGATTGCTGGGTCAACTGGTATTTCTGTTTCTAGATCTCTGGGGAATCACCACACTGTCGTCCACAATGGTTGAACTAATTTACACTCCCAGCAGTGTAAAAGTGTTCCTATTTCTCCACATCCTCTCCAACATCTGTTGTCTCCTGACTTTTCAATGATCGCCATTCTAATTGGCGTGAGATGGTAACTCAATGTGGTTTTGATTTGCATTTCTCTAATGACCAGTGATGATGAGCTTTTTTTCATATATTTGTTGGCTATATAAATGTCTTCTTTTGAAAGTGTCTGTTCATATCCTTTGCCCACTTTTTGATGGGATTGTTTTCTTGTAAATTTGTTTAAGTTCTTTGTAGATTCTGGATATTAGCCCTTTGTCAGATAGGCAGATTGCAGAAATTTTTCCCATTCTGTGGGCTGCCGGTTCACTCTAATGATAGTTTCTTTTGCTGTGCAGAAGCTCTTAAATTTAATTAGATTCCATTTTTCTATTTTGGCTTTTGTTGCCATTGCTTTTTTTTTTTTTTTTTTATTGCATTTTAGGTTTTGGGGTACATGTGAAGAACACGCAAGATTGTTGCATAGGTACACACGTGGCAGTGTGATTTGCTGCCTTCCTCCTCATCACCTATATCTGGCATTTCTCCCCTTGCTGTCTCTCCCCAACTCCTCACCCCCCACTCTCCCTCCCCTATTATCCCCCAACAGACCCGAGTGTGTAGTGCTCCCGTCCCTGTGTACATGTGTTCTCATTGTTCAACACCCGCCTATGAGTGAGAACATGCGGTGTTTGATTTTCGGCACTTGTATCAGTTTGCTGAGAATGATGGTTTCCAGGTTCATCCATGTCCCTACAAAGGACATGAACTCATTGTTTTTGATGGCTACATAATATTCCTGGTGTATATGTGCCACATTTTCACTGTCCAGTCTATCATCAGTGGGCATTTGGGTTGGTTCCAGGTCTTTGCTATTGTAAACTGTGCTGCAGTGAACATTCGTGTGCATGTGTCCTTATAGTAGAACGATTTATAATCCTTTGGATATATACCCAGTAATGGGATTGCTGGGTCAAATGGAATTTCTATTTCTAGGTCCTTGAGGAATGGCCACACTGTCTTCCACAATGGTTGAACTAATTTACACTCCCACCAACACTGTAAAAGTGTTCCTATTTCTCTGCATCCTCTCCAGCATCTGTTGTCTCCAGATGTTTTAATGATCGCCATTCTAACTGGCATGAGATGGTATCTCAGTGTAGTTTTGATTTGCATTTCTCTAATGACCAGTGATGATGAGCATTTTTTTCATGTTTGTTGGCCTCATGTATGTCTTCTTTTGTAAAGTGTCTGTTCATATCCTTTGCCCACTTTTGAATGGGCTTGTTAGTTTTTTTCTTGTAAATCTATTTTAGCTCTTTGTAAATTCTGGATATCAACCCTTTGTCAGATGGGTAGATGGCAAAAATTTTTTCCCATTCTGTTGGTTGCCGATTCACTGTAATGACTGTTTCTTTTGCCGTGCAGAAGCTGTGGAGCTTGATTACGTCCCATTTGTCTATTCTGGCTTTTGTTGCCAATGCTTTTGGTGTTGTGGTCATGAAGTCCTTGCCTACACCTATGTCCTGAATGGTTTTGCCTAGATTTTCTTCTGTGCTTTTTATGGTGTTAGGTCTTATGTTTAAATTTTTAATCCATCTGGAGTTATTTTTTGTATAAGGTGTCAGGAAGGGATCCAGTTTCAGCTTTCTGCGTATGGCTAGCCAGTTTTCCCAACACCATTTATTAAATAGGGAATCCTTTCCCCATTGCATGTTTTTGTCAGGTTTGTCAAAGATCAGATGGTGGTAGATGTGTGGTGTTGCTTCTGCGGCCTCTGTTCTGTTCCATTGGTCTATATCTCTGTTTTGGTATCAGTACCGTGCTGTTTTGATTATTGTAGCTTTGTAGTATAGTTTGAAGTCAGGTAGCATGATGCCTCCAGCTTTGTTTTTTTGTGTGTTTTTTTAACTTAGGATTGTTTTGGCTGTGTGCACTCTCTTTTGGTTCCATATGAAGTTTAACATGTTATTTTCCAATTCTGTGAAGAAAGTCAGTGGTAGTTTGATGGGGATAGCATTGAATCTATAAATTACTTTCTGCAGTATGGCCATTTTCACAATATTGATTCTTCCTAACCATGAGCATGGAATGTTTTTCCATCTGTTTGTGTCCTCTCTTATTTCCTTGAGCAGTGGTTTATAGTTCTCCTTGAAGAGGTCCTTCACATCCCTTGTTAGTTATGTTCCTAGGTATTTTATTCTCTTTGTAGCTATTGTCAATGGGAGTTCACTCATGATTTGGCTCTCTGTTTGCCTTTTATTGGTGTATAGGAATGCTTGTGATTTTTTGCACATTGATTATGTATCCTGAGACTTTGCTAAAGTTTGCTTATCATCTTAAGGAGATTTTGGGCTGAGACGATGGGCTCTTCTAAATATACAGTCATGTTGTCTGCAAAGAGAGACAATTTGACTTCCTCTTTTCCCAATTGAATACCCTTTATTTCTTTTTCTTGCCTGATTGCGCTGGCCAGAACTTCCAATACTATGTTGAATGGGAGGGGTGAGAGAGGGCATCCTTGTCTTGTGCCAGTTTTCAAAGGGAATGCTTCCAGTTTTTACCCATTCAGTATGATATTGGCTGTGGGTTTGTCATAAATCGCTCTTACTATTTTGAGATAATGTTCCATTAATACCTAGTTTATTAAGAGTTCTTAGCATAAAGTGCTGTGGAATTTTGTTAGAGGTCTTCTCTGCATCTATTGAGATAACCATGTGGTTTTTGTCTTTGGTTCTGTTTATGTGGGATTACATTTATAGATTTGCATATGTTGAACCAGCCTTGCATCCCCGGATGAAGCCTACCTGATTGTGATGGATAAGCTGTTGGATGTGCTGTTGGATTTGGTTTGCCAGTATTTTATGGAAGATTTTTGCATCAATGTTCATCATGGATATTGGCCTGAAATTTTCTCTTTTAGTTGTATCTCTGCCAGGTTTTGGTATCAGGATGATGTTGCACTCATAAAATGAATTAGGGAGGATTCCCTTTTTTTGTATTGTTTGGAATAGTTTCAGAAGGAATGGTACCAGTTCCTCTTTGTACCTCTGGTAGAATTTGGCTTTGAACCCGTCTGGTCCTGGACTTTTTTTGGTTGATAGGCTATTAATTGCTACCTCAACTTCAGACCTTGTTGTTGGTATATTCAGGGATTCAACATCTTCCTGGTTTAGCCTTGGATGGTTGTAAGTGTCCAGGAATTTATTCATTTCTTCTTGATTTACTGGTTTATGTGCATAGAGGTGTTTGTAGTAATCTCCGATGGTAGTTTATATTTTTGTGGAATTGGTGGTAATATCCCTTGAGTTCTGTTTGTTCTTGCTCCTCTAGTTGTTTTAATCGTGACATTAAGGTGTCAATTTTAGATCTTTCCTTTCGTCTCAGGCGGGCATTTAGTGCTATAAATTTCCCTCTAGACACTGCTTTAAATGTGTCCCAGAGATTCTGTTACATTGTCTCTTCGTTCTCATTGGTTTCGAAGAACATCTTTATTTCTGCCTCCATTTCATTATTAATCCAGTAGTCATTTGGGAGCAGGTTGTTCAGTTTCCATGTACTTGTGCAGTTTTGAGTGAGTTTCTTAATACTGAGTTCTAATTTGATTGCCCTGTGGTCTGAGAGACTGTTTTGA